GGGTGTGAGGAAGCCTACCAGCCAACAAGCAGCTGCCAGACGGATGCAGGTGCCCCAGGACACCAAAGCCCCATAGTGGAGAGGCATGCAAATGGCCACATAACGATCATAGGCCATAGCAGCCAGCAGGAAACACTCAGTTGCCCCAAGGAAGGTGAAGATGAAGAGCTGGGACAGGCAGCCAGCATAAGAAATATTCTTGCCACCTTCCACCCCAATAAAAACAGCCAGCATCTTGGGCACTGTAACAGAAGTGTACCAGACTTCAAGGCAAGACAAGTGTGTCAGGAAGAAATACATGGGTCTCCATAGTCGGTGGTCCAAGCCCACCACTAAAATGATGGCCAAATTCTCTACCAAGATGAACAGGTACATGGTGAGGAAGAGTATGAAGAAGAGAAGGTGTGTTTCATGAATGCCAGCAAAGCCCATCATGACAAATTCAGTTACCTGGGTCCAGTTTTTGGTATATGGCTGCATCTGTGGCAGTGAGAGCTCAGCAAACTCATAGCCTCATAGACAATGAAAGCTCAAAGAGAACCTGTGAGGTTGGAGGATGTTGTACTAAAATGCCTTTCACTTCAGAAGAAAAACATGATGTAAAGACCCTGTTCTTACCCTCAAAGAATTTACAGTACATGAGGGACATGAGAAAACAAATAATATCAGTACAAAATGAAATGCACTGGCTAAGAATAAGACAGGGTACTATGGGCAGAAATAGCGGGGAAGCTCAACCAGTCTTGAGAAATCTTCCTGGAGAGAAGACTGTCTAAAGCTGAACCTGAAAAGGAAGTACAAGTTAGTGAGACAAAAGGTAGAGATAGAGAGAAGACATAGCAAGTATAAAATTCCAGACACCAGACAGGAGACTGTGCATTTGGGAAACTTCAAGTAGAGACAGTTTACCATAGAATTCAACAGCTTGATTTCCCAAGCAAGCATACCTGGCTTCAAATAAAAGAGAACCTCACAGAGTTGTTGTGAAAATGTAAGTTAAATAATTCCTGTAAAGCACTTAGCATCATGTTTGAGTCAATAAATGTCAAGGGGGAAATCTACATGCTGACTTCTCCTGGAATAATAGAGAGAGAGAACAAATGACTGTTTCTGAGCCCAAGGAGTAGGCTGGGGCACCATGAAGGGCCAGCAACCAAATTAAGGGAAAGGAAAAAGCTGAGCTTCAGTCTAAAGGCCACAGGGAGCCTTTAAGAATTATAAGCAGGGAAGCAATGCTATTCTTTTTACCCCTTAGAAGGGGCAGGTTTGGAGGGGAACAAGGTAAGAGGCAGAAGCTGGGCACGGTGGCTCACGCATGTAATCCCAGCACTTTGGGAGTCCAAGGCAGGCGGATCACCTGAGGTTGGGTGTTCAAGATCAGCCTGGCCAACATGGTGAAACCCTGTCTCTACTAAAAGTACAAAAGTTAGCCCAGTGTAGTGGTGGGCACCTGTAATCCCAGCTACTCGAGAGGCTGAGGCAGGAGAATCACCTGAATCGGGGGGCAGAGGTTGCAGTGAGCTGAGATCATGCCACTGCACTCTAGCCTGGGTGACAGAACGAGACTCCATGTCAAAAAAAAAAAAAAAAAAAGGAGGAGGCAGGAAGGAAGGCTGGGTTAGGAGGTTGTTGCAAGTATAGCATGGAGTGAGGGTGACTTTAACTGCGGAAATGCCAGTAGGAGAGTGAACATGACTGTTAAAAGACAGAATCAACATAATTGGGTTTGGATCCATACTGGGTTTGAATTTAAGCTTCAATATCAACTTGAAATATATGATTCGTGAATCCCATTCACTCATGGTCATATATTTCAAGTTGATATTGGAGCTAAATAATTCCATTTTTTAAAAAACAGATAATACAAAAGAGTTCCCAAGAGATTACTTCCTATCTCATTTTAGAATTAAATGAGAAAATATAATATCTCCATTTTTGTGCCAGTTTTAAAATACAGCCCCAAATTCTTGAACACTCTTCCCATCCAAAAGGAGGGTCTTTGGCCATTCCCATTGCATCTGGGTTCTGTGATGGCTTAACAGAATAAGGTGGAAGTGATGCTGTGCCAGTTTCCAGGCCCGGGGCTTGGAAACCATCAGTTTCCTCTTCTTGCTTCTTGAAACCCAGTCACAGTAGTGTGAGGAAGCCTATGTAGCCTGTGGAGGTGCCTAAGTGAAGAGGAGCTAAGTCCCTCAGCCCTCAGCCCTAGCCAAGCTTCCACTGACAGCCAGCACCAGCGTACCAGCCAGGTGAATAAGCCGTCTGAGAAACAGACCATTCAGCCCCCATTGAGCTGGCCAAGCTGACACCAGCCTTCCCTGCTGAGCCCTCCCCAAATTAAAAATCTATGAGCTAAATAACTGATTGTTGTTTAAACCACTAAGTTTTAGGCTGCTTTGTTATGCGGTGACATAAATAAAGCAATTCTGTCCTAGTTGTATAACTTGGGCAAATTATTTACTGTTTCTGACCCTTTGGAGAAAAAAAATGTTTTGCTACAGTCACAGATTCCTGAACTGGAATTTGAATCCAGGTTTGCCAAGGTCTAAAGCCCTTGTTCTTTCCCCTATAAATAATTAGCAAGTTCCTTCTGGCTTCAGAATTCCTGGCAATGAAAGCATGTAGAGATACAAAATCAGAAATAAACAAGTTCAAAGTTTTCAGATTTCTGCGTGCGTCTTCACCATGCCTAACATCCCCACAGTGGGAAGTCTATAAACATTGGCTTCCTCTCACATAATTGCATTGCAGCCCCAGACACTTCATGCTTTTGTTGGCTCAAGGAAATTTCAGGACGCAATTCCCTCCCATTTATCTCCTTTGCAACCTCGCTTACAATGTAGCAGCCTCCAAACAATGATCACCTTTCCCAATGGAAATACTGCACACAGATGCTCTAGAAGTTTGACTTGACTTACTGTGTTGGACAGTTTCATCGTCAAACTCTCTGAAAAATTCATTATTTTTCATAGTCATGGAGAGAATGAGATTTAGAGTCAAACAGCTCTGGGATCAAAGCCCTGCGTCTACAATTTACTAGCTCGGTTGTGTCATCTATAAATTCTTACTATTATTTCTAAATCTTACCTGTCCTTTCAGCTGTGACTCAAGTTTGATAGTCCTGTCTTCACTAGGAAGCCTTTTTCCTTACCTCATTCCTCCAAACTCGTATGCAGGTCAAGCAAACAAATGCACAGGGCACCTGTTCTGACCTAGGAACCACGGTGGAGGGTACAGATGCCCCCAGCCTCTATCCCAGGGCCTGCTACAGAGCAGGTACCCCCAACATCCATCCTGAGGCCTGGTGCACAGCAGGTGCCCCCAGCATCCACCCTGGGGCCTGGTACAGACCAGGTTTCTCCAGCATCACCATGGAGGCTGGTACAGAGCAGATTCTCCCACCAGCTGCCCCAGGGCCTGGTACAAAGCAAGTGCCCCAAGCATCTATCTCAGGGCCTGGTACAGAGCAGGTGGCCCCAGCATCCACCCTGGGGCCTGGCACAGAGCAGGTGCCCCAGCACCCACCCTGGGACCTTGTACAGATGCCCCCAAACATCCACCCTGGGGTCTGGTACAGAGCAGGTGCCCCAGCATCAACCCTGGGGCCTAGTACAGAGCAGGTGCTCCAGCATCCACCCAGGGGCCTGATACAGATGCCCTCCCAGCACCCACCCTGGGACCTTGTACAGATGACCCCCCAACATCCACTCTGGGGCCTGATACAGAGGCCTCCCCCCGCAATATCCACCCTGGGGCCTGATACAGATGCCCCCGCAACATCCACCCTGGGGTCTGGTACAGAGCAGGTGCCCAGCATCCACCCTGGGGCCTGATACAGATGCCCCCCCTAACATCCACCATGGAGCCTGGTACAGAGCAGGTATTACTTTTTAATACTTTCAGATCTCTGATCCATGGCTTAGAGAGAGGGTGCCAGAACCTGTGGGCTTTGTCTCAGGCCCAGATTAGCTACATTGAAAGGGTCTGCTCTTGTTTCTCAAAAACTGAAGGAGGAGTAAAGAAGTAGGATACAAGAGAAAAGGAGAGAGGGAGAGCCAAGGGCTAACTTTTTATCCCCTTGCATCCAGGCAGTGATGCATTTTACCTGTGGACTGAGACTTTTTAAGAACAGGAGTGTCTTCCCCACTATCTCTTTCCCCATCATAGAGCCAAGAGCTGGCAGGATCCTAGATCCCTGAGGAAAACCACTCACTTCTTCCTGGAGCAGGGGTTACCCAACATTTTCTGTAACGGATCAGATTCGAATAGTTTCAGCTTTAGGAGCCACAGGCAGTTTCTGCCACACATTCTTCTCTGTGGGTTTTTTTGTTTGTTTTTGCAACTCTTTAAAATGTAAAACCCTTTCTTAGCTCATGGGCCATACACAAACAGGCTACAAGCTGGATTTGGACCATGGGCTGTAATTTGCCAATCCCTGCCCTTGACTCACACAGGACTGTCACACGAGCGAAAAACACCACCACCTTACTGTGTTAAGCAGTAGTTACCCTACTTTATGGACACACATACCACCTATGCCACCACCAAGCAGCCAAACTGTCCCCAAATTATCTGTTGTCTCTTGTTCTGCAGAGAAATGGGGGATGGGGGACAACTGATATCCGGGGTTTGGTTGGACACGCATGAGCAATTGCACCTGCACTGAAGCCCAGTGAGTCCTTATTGCTCCCCCTAGCCTAATGCTAATTAACAAACTGCAAGGGAACCTTTTCTTGAATTCCAAATCAGAAACCCAAAATCTAAACTGAATGATTCTAGAAAAATGCTTGAATCTCCATCAGCTCTTCCTCTACTGCCTGACACTCAATTGCATTCTTTGAGAGACTCAAGAAATGAACTCAAGTTGTCAAATAGATTGGATTGATACATGGAGAACAACATTCAAAGAGTTTAAATGAATAAAATAATTTTTAAATGTCTCATTACTTCCTTTGCTAGTGTATATTAATGCACATTCATTCATTAAAAAGATTAAGAGAATACTCGCTTCAGCAGCATATATACTAAAACTGGAATGATACAGAGAAGATTGGCATGGTCCCTGCATGAGAATGACACACAAATTTGTGAAGCATTCCATATTTTTTTCTTTTTGATACAGAGTCTCGCTCTGTTGCCCAGGCTGGAGTGAAGTGGCGCAATCTTGGCTCACTGCAACCTCCGCCTCCCAAGTTCCAGTGATTCTCCTCCCTCAGCCTCCCGAGTAGCTTGGATTTCAGGCACATGCCACCACATCCAGCTAATTTTTGTATTTTTAATAGAGACAGGATTTTACCATATTGGCCTGGCTGGTCTCAAACTCCTGACCTCAAATGATCCACTCACCTCGACCTCCCACAGTGCGGGGATTACAGGCATGAGCCACCATGCCCAGCCACATTCCATATTTTTAACAAACCTGCACATGTACCCCCTGAATATAAAAGTTGAAAAAAAAATAAAAAGATTGAGAGAGAGAATCTCACAGCTATCTAACTCCTGGAAATTTCTGAACCTATTAATTTTTTAACTCAGTGAAGTGGTTTATCCACAGTTCTATGCCTGCCAGTTCCTCATTCAAGCATTCTTCAAGGAGACCCTGAGTGCCAGGCATGGTACTAGGCATCAGGCCTCTAACCCAAAATGAGTTGCAAGTCCTGCCTTTTAAGAACCGTGTCTTTTAGGAAAGATAGAGAAGTACTCAAGGGTTAGGACAGAGATGTGATGAGCTAATTGCAATGTGTCTGGTAGAACAAAGTAGGGCGCAGTGAAGTTGGCATAGAAGGAAGACAGGACAGGTAAGATCAAGAAACAATTTCCCAATTAAATCGCACTGAGGGTGGGGGACGGTGGAAAGAAGGCAATCCTTAACTGACAAAACCAAGTGCAGTGGAGGGAGGGGGAGGCACCCCAGCAAGCCAGGGGAGAGGCAGGTGGAAGTAGCTAATATGCCCAGAGGAATCGTTAGAAGAGGTTGTGAGGTCCACGGAAAGAGTCAGGAGAGCATAGTGGTTAAGGCTACATTCAGGCATTAGACCACCTGATGCCTTCAAATCTCAGCTCTACCACCTTCTAACTGTAATCAGATGAAAGCAACCTAGATGGGAGGCAATGCCTAACCCAACAATGAATTTCTGATGGAATCATTTAAGACATCAGAGACAAGTCCAATGAGAAACTATTTCTGAACAAGAGTTTCAGAGCATCCAAATTCTACTCCTCTTCCCCCCCGCCCCAACACTTCTTCGGGTCATGTGTTGGTAGAAAGATGAGCTTCTCTCCAAAAAAAGGAGAAAGGAGTCTGGGCGCGGTGGCTCAGGCCTGTAATCCCAACACTTTGGGAGGCGGGCAGATCATAAGGTCAAGAAATCGAGACCATCCTGGCCAACACGGTGAAACCCCGTCTCTACTAAAAATACAAAAATTAGCTGGGCATGGTGGTGGGCGCCTGTAGGACATGCCCTACAGTAACTGGGCAGGGCGCCCCAGCTACTCAGGGGGCTGAAGCAGGAGAATCGCTTGAACCCGGAAGGCGGAGGTTGCAGTGAGCCGAGATCGTGCCATTGCACTCCAGCCTGGTGACAGAGCAAGACTCCGTCTCAAGAAAAAAAAAAAGAAAGAAAGAAAAGGTCATTTATGGAACCCCTCCCATGGGCTAGATTCTGATGAGCTGATACTATCTCGCTTCATCCCCACAATACTGTACTATGATCCTATGAACTCTTCTTGATATAGAGGTGTTATTTGTCTTAGTTTTCATGCAATTGAAATAACTGAAGGCTCAGAGAGACCGTAAGTAACTTGCACAAGATCAAAGAACTACATGGCACAGAGAAGAGCCAAACCCCAGAGCTTCTGACAAAAAAAGCCTGTGCTTTCCCTCCACACCGTGCCATTTTCCTCTGCCATTTCATTTCACCCAATGACGACGTGCCTGCAACCCTGGCTCCCTGCCCTGACTCGGAGGTTAATTTCCCTGCAGCTCAGAGCCCCGCCAAGGCTGGAGGAATATCCCACAGGCTCCAGTGAGCTGCAAAGCACAGTCACACTCCCAGGGCTATTAACAGCATCCGCTTCCTCTCCAGGGTTCAGGGAACTTTATCCGCCAAGTGCCATGCAGGGAAAAAGCGGTCAACCGGAGAGGAGAGGGTCACACGGGGCAATCACTAAATAAGGAGAAAGGCCGCACAGGAACTTGGCCCAATTTGATGTCCTCAAAAGATAGTGCTCCCTGGCTAAGATTTTCCCTAACAAATATGGAAAAACAGTTTGAAGCCCATGCACAAAAATTAAAACTTGGTTCCTGCAGCTATTTGCTTGTGCAGCTACATGACAAGCCTGGTGAGAGAGGCTGGATTTCTCCCTCTCTCAGTTCTCTCCACCTGGCATCTAGGGGACTGGTCCCAAAAAGTGAAAGGAACTGGAAAAGAAACTTACTAAGATCCAGGAAATGATTTCAAAAAAACAGCCAACAAACCAAGGTGAGCAGGCACAGCGGGTAGGTGTCATGAGACAGACAGCGGGGCTAGGAGATGCCCAGGATGAAGCCCAGAGACCTGCTGTCTGATTCCTCTTGGGTCCAGCTCATCGCATGCCTGCTTCCCCACTACCACTGCAACGTGACAGCAGCAGCACATCTCATTTTCCAACATGCAGACAGCCCCCTGTGGTAACAGCACCGTCTCTGAAATCAGTAGAGCTGCATTTGACCCTACCTCCGTCAGACCGTAGCTGTGAGCTTGTGACTTTGTGGGTTTGATCTTGCTGAGCCTCAGTGTCTTCATCTTCAAATGGGGAGGATAACATGTACATTGCTGGGCTGGACCAAAGATGGAAGGAGACGGCATTAAGGGAAAGTAGGGCCTTTGCTCCTTTTGCTCCCTCTACCATCTCTGTGTGGCTTCCTCCTGCACTTCCTTCAATTCCCTGCACAAGGCCACCTTCACAGAGAGGCCCTTTCTGACCACCTATCTGAAAACGCAATTCCTTTCACTCTCTGATTCTCTTCTCAGTTTGATTTTTTGTGTCACAGCCTCATTGCCATCTGGGTAGATATTTGTTTATCTGTAACATCATGCACACACACACATACACACACGTTCATGCAAAAGGAAGCTCCTTGAAGATAGTGCCTTTGTTTGTTCATCACTGTATTGCCAATGCCAAAAGAGTCACTGGCATGTAGTCTACACGCAATAAATATATAGTGATGTAATAAAAGGATGGTCGCATGCTCCTGGCATCCTGCTGACCCAGCGTACTTAGTTTCCTTTCCATTTCTAGCTACCTGTTTTCAAGGAAATTGAAAGAAAAGGAAGTTCACCAATACTTACAGAAAAGTCAATCAATTTGGGTGTTGTCCATGCGATTACTGCCAATGGACTATAAGACTGACAATGCCTGAAGGAATGACGTCTTGTATATCTGGAGCAGCCTGCTCTCATGGCCTTGGGTGGGAGGCAAACTGAATTGATTTCTACATATAATTTCTTTTTCTTAGCTACAGAATTTAATTTTAAATTTCCCAGAAAGTTGTACTCTATCAGCTGTTTTCAAACTCTGTTCCACCAAGTCCTAGATTTGCTTAGTTGCCAGGTAGCTGGGAAGATGAAGGGACCTAGCATGTGAGGCTCTCAAAAGCCCTGCTTCAACCAGCTAGTAAGTGACAGAGTCCAGATGAGAATCCAGCCCAGTGTGACTCCAGAGCCCACCATCTTTCCATCATACCACCTCCCCAGGGAGGCTGATATTCCTAAAATAAAATCTGATCAATTAACTGGGTACTTCTGTCATTATTCCAGGGGCTTCAATACTGAGCACATACAATCTGTTCCTCAAAGCTACTGATATATAGTCTCCCTATGATGGGAACAAATGGGAAATAGAGGTATACGAAAATAAGTGGGAGGCTTCTCCAGCCATATATATGACAGAGATCCCAGACCCAAACCAAGCCAGAGAGTCCACCATGGCAGACAGGAACCAAGGTGAGAATCAAGCTTTCTGAGCTTCTAGCTCCTAATCTCCAGGCAGGAATAACACCTATTCTTGTTGTCTGTCAGAACATTCTGTGAATTGATGGGATAGTGGATGTGCGGGTTCTTTGAAACTCGAAAGTTACACTCTGGTAAAACCTGTTTACTCTTTTGCTTCTATTGCTTATGGACTATGTGATGACCACAGAATTTCAATAAAGGGACAGCATGGGAATGGCCATCTGGTAGGACTCTGGGAATCGTCATGAAGCTGCCCTGGAATAACAAAAGCAAATTAATTTTCTTTAGATTGTAGGTTTATTTGAGGTGGCTTGAGGAGGCAAACAGAGATGAAGGATAACTAAAACCCCACAAAGTCTCTTGGCACCCCTACTCTATATGAGCTTAAGCAAATCAGTTGAATTCTGTGTGCCTCCATTTTCTCACTTGAAAACTGAGTTGATATTTAAAACCACAATGACTCTGTAAAAGAGCTTTTGGGCTGGGCACGGTGGCTCACACCTGTAATCCCAGCACTTTGCAAGACCGAGGTGGGTGGATCACTTGAGGTCAGGAGTTCAAGACCAGCCTGGCCAACATGGTGAAACCCCGTCTCTACTGAAAATACAAAAACTAGCCAGGCATGATGGCACACACATGGTAATCCCAGCTACTCAGGAGGCTGAGGCAGAATTGCTTGAACCTAGGAGGTGGAGGTTGCAGTGAGCTGATACCACACCACTGCACTCCAGCCTAGGTGACAGAAGGAGACTCTGACTCAAAAAATAAAAATAAATAAAATAATTTAAAAACTAAATTTAAAAAAAAATTTTTAAAAGAGGTTTTGAACAAAAAAATAAAATGAGATTACAAACTGGGAAAACTCTAAAGAAAAGATCGGGCTATACAGAAGTCAGGAATCATACCTCTAGATTTGGTATCCATTTGATTGATAACATTCCTCTTCCATTCACCACACCTAGGGTACTCTTTGGATATGGGCCTCTAGAGGAGCCACGTACCTGCCTCCCACTGCTTCTCTAGTTTCCTAGTGTCTTCTCTGGCTGAAGCACCAAGGCCAAGCATACCCAGAACCTTGGAACTGGTGGCCAGGACAGGTTATTGAATCCCA